GTCATGAAAAGGAATGAGGCAAGACAGGGTTTGGAAGGCGGATGGTTTGGCCCATACAAAATCATCCGAAAAGGCGATCTGGGTACTAATGTTTTGGAAAGCATGAACGGCTTGCACGAACCCGTCTTTGGCAACTGTTTGCGCAAAATTACGGAGCCCTTTGGCAAGAAGGTTTGGTTCAATGAGGCTGCTTGTAGCCACTTTTGTTGGGCCGTAAGCGGACACCCAGGATTTGCCGCTCTTAGGGAAGGTGGAGGTGTTGAGGAAGACACTGGCGACATCGATTTCGACGCAAACGCTTTGCAGCCGTCTTTGAGCTCCATCCCCTGGATCGGAGGCCAACCCCCAGCGTCTTCCTGAGTGTCGTGCCCACCTACAACACAAGCCCTCCAAAATTCTACCAAAAAACCCACTTCGAGCACGAACAAGTCACAGCGCAAGTCACAAAAAGGCACAGGAGAAAGGAACATCGATTCGACCAAAGTAAGGTACAGGGAAGGGTGGATCAAAAGGTGGTAAAGTATTACGAAGAGGAATGCGAGATGGGGGTTAAAAAAGAAGAAGCGCGACAAAGAGGAGAAGATCTAGCAGGGGAACTGCAACCCCGCGTCGAAGAGGCGTTTGGAAGACAACTCCTCAAGGAGAAGACTGCCCTTGACTCGTCGAAGCCTTCTTCTTCTGGTCCAACCTCTTGACGCGCCAAGGGTACGGGTTCGAACCGCTCGGATTGTGTACTCGCGGCACACGAGTAAGTTCCCCCACATCTTCTGCCCGAACCTTGTCGAAGCTTGTTGCGACATACGAAAAGAGCGCCGAAGGGTCGCACGTTGGCACCTCCGGATGCTGCTCCAATTCCGCATTGTTATTTGTCACGATTCGCGACGCACAAAGTTCCAAAAAGGCCGCGTCCGGCAGCGCTTTCTCCTTCCTGGCTTCAATCTCCAACAACCGCGCCCTAGCCCCGTTCAGCAGTTTCTTCAAGGTCAATGGGCTGACCTCGATGCCAAAACGAGCATGGAGCTCACGAGGAAAGTTGATCTCCTTGTCCTCGGCGCGGATGCTGCAGTACTCGGCCGACTGTAGTCGACCGAGGGTACTTTGTTGTAGCGAGTCATCGAAGACCAGTCAAGATTCGTTAAGCGCGCCACCGGGGGCCACTTCCCTTC